CTTTCATCGAAGCTGCAGAAACATAATTGCTTTTCAGACTTCCCCCCCACCAAGAGTCACTGCAGAGAAACATGTTCAAAAGTTACTGGAGGCACCTGTACAAATACATGCATGCACAAATACACATAGCATTGTTAGTTGCATTTTTTTTTTCTAAATAATTGTGCCTTATTTCTTTTAAATAGTTTGTTGTTGTCTTCCTCATTATGTTTTTCTTTTCCTCCTCAGTATGTCTTTCATCTCCAAATCATAGTGCCCCTTAGCACCCTCAATCTGCTCTGAACTGAAAACATTTATGCACTCAGTAATCTCTTTAATATGATGAACATCTTGAGTTACTTCTTTTTCTTATCCTATTGAGGTTTTTTGACAGGTTGGAACAACTTTTATTTCTCTTTTCTGTACTCTTGCAAAACGTTTCCCAGTACAGACATCATGAGATGAAGACGAGCCCGTATGCCCTACTGTTTTTCTGTATTTTCCAAACATCTGAGCTGGTCCAATAAACAAAAATGCATCCCTTGCTACAAATCTTTCTCATATCCTTACATCACTGTAGTTACAACAAGATTGCTAAGAGACAGGAACAGTATGCAGCGTTTTCAGTGTTAATCTCCCCAGTGTCAGATAGAGGTAAAAACACCTCCTTATGCTACTCACAACTCCCCTTCTTATATATCAAAGGACCACATCAGTCTTTTCCCAGAACATCTCACTGGGAACTCATGTTGAGTGACTTGTCTTCTTTGACCTCTAAATCCTTTCCAGAGCTTTCTAAGACACAGTCTTCCTATTGTTCAGAGAGAAGCTGCTAATGTTCCCCCAAAATACTATAAACATTACACTAAGAAGAAAGGTTTGTTGCAAACAATTGTTTTGGATAGCAAAAAAGGGTCCATAGCCAAGTTTCCCAAATTCAGTGTAAGAAATAGCCAACAGAAAAATTTTAAAATTAGGAAGGCTGAAACATACTATACTAATCTTAATATGTCAAAATATCTGCTTTGATATTGTGGGAGAGATAGAAAGAGTAGAAATGGGAATTCACATGCCAAATTTGATGATTTATATTTTGGAGAAATGAACAGAAAAAATTGTTGCAAAGGCAAGATTTATTTAATACTACTGGTAATCAAGCCTTGTGTGTCTGGAACTAGTGAACTGAAATGGTATGAACCAAAATCAGAGGCTGTTTTGAAAATAAAGGGATTGGCTTTCCTATCAGGATTTATGATAGTAAAAGAGAATTCATATGTCATAGAGATGTTGAGACACTCCAATTAGCTTCTTTCACAGTCTTCGAGAAAAACAGATCCATAACCACTGAAACTATGTTTAAATATTTTTTTATTTTGCATATTACTCAACTAAGATATCTTTTTTCAGAATTCTTTTTATTAATCAGCTCAATCTCACCTAACTACTGTCAGTTTTGCTCATTAAAAAAAAAGTCAGCTGTTTCACACCATGTTCTTTTGCATCTACAACAAAATCTAACAAAGACTGAGGAGAAAACTGGTAATTTTCTTGTGGGAAAACTATGGCTAACTTCCACTGGGTGATCTGACAAGAAAATAGCACTAACTGGTGTTGATTTTGGTGATTACATACCAGTTCCTGAAACAACCATTCTGCTTGTGGACCAGCTCCTTGAAGAGCTGTCTGTCTTCAGGAAAGGACTGAAAATGCTCAGCTGCTGTCAGATAAGAAGGAACTTGCTATGCCAAATCCTACCTTTGAGAAAGTGTTCCAGGGAAGAACCTCTGAACACAAAATAAAGTTAAATGGCTTTTAGAGAGAGTTCTGTCTCTTGTACCATATTTTTCAAAGAAATAGCTGGATTTAAAAAATAATTATAAGGTGAAAGTTAAGATAAGTTCTTGTAGAAAAGGAGTGTTGATCAAGTTGCTTTCAACCGAAGCTCGCAGACAAGAATAATTTTACATTTAATCTTTATTACAGTAGTAGTAATAAAGCAGTAGCATAATGCACTAAAGATTTTCTTTTTCCTTAGACCTTATTGAAGAATATGCAGATATCCTTCAAGGAAATGAGAATCAAGGCTTTTAATTGTGAGAAATTAATGGCTGTTCTCTGTTCTGGTGAGTTTAATGGTTGCAGAGATCTGGTTCTGTAAACAGTAAAACAGAAATTACATATCTGAATCAAGTTATTTTCATTATCAGAACCCAACATTGGCTTGTTTATACAGCTTTAAATAGTAAACTACAAGCCTAAGGAAAAAAAATAGAAGTTAGGAAAAGTCTAAACCTGAGGCAATACATAAATCTGCTGATACTGCAAAGCCAGCACTCAGTGCATCCATGAAAGATGAAAGCCAGGGGAGGCAAACTAGGCTTCTAACTATGGAAGTTAATTAGCCCTATTTTTATCTAGAAGGGAATTTCTGTTTAAAATTCACCCAGGTTTTAGGGTACAATGATTTAAAATTACTGACCCCTGCCCCCACCCAAAAAAAAAATTTGTAAAGGGTAAATTTGTTTTAAGGCCTTCCACTAAAGAAAAATAAAACATGATAAAATACTAAGGCCACCTTAAGTATATATCCATATATTCCTTCTAGCCATACAGGAAAAAATATTTCCCATGAGATTACAAACAAAGAGGGATTAATTAGTAAGAGATAATTCTCAGATATTGCACAATGCATTCATGTCCCTCAAGTCAGCACATTTTACTGAATGATGATGTCAACAGCATAGGTTCTTACTGGTCAAAATTACATATTCATGATACCTCTCAATTTCAAGACTATAATAATCTTAAGGGATTTAAATTTGTATCCAGGCAAAGGAGACATCAGTGATATGATACAATTGCTGACTTGAAAACTTTAGTTCAAACTACTGATAATGAACATGGGGGGATTTGTTTTTGACTTTCTCAGCTTTGGGAACAAGCCTACTGGAAAGCTCAATAGTGGAAGCTACAGGTGCACACCCCTCTGAAAATGTTAACCTAGAAGAAAAGCCATGATCCCCCCGAGACAAATAAAATGTGATAATTATAGGAAGGCTTCTAAATAGTAAAGGAGGAAAGTTCTGATACTATCTTCTGATAGGAAAGCAAAAATTTTTACATAAATTTTGGATAAAGCTACATTGGTTCATGAAAATGCTGTGATTCTCTCTGACAGGAGAGGACTGTTGCTCTAGAGATCTCCTCCAGTCTCAAATTCTCGTATTCATTGGAAAACACCCACTGACATCATTGTAGATAGGAGCTAATTTGTCCTGAATTTGACTGGAAATCTGTCTCTTCAGATACTGAGGTCAGATTTGGAAGTACAGCCTTAAACTCTTCTGCTTCTTTAGTCATAAAATAGGTATGCCAATTGTGTACTACACTAGGCAAAACCTTTATATGTACATTTGCAAAAAAAAAAAAGTGACAGAAGAATGCCATGTCTCTTTACTGTGCCTAGACACAGTGCCATTTGAACACAAACCAAAATACATAGTAGAGGATGTTTGTGAAAGAGGAGCCAGTCATTGACTGGAGAGAAATCTCTGGCAGTCTTTAGTTCAGGTTCTCAGACAGCATAAGGAAATCAAGAGTAGATATCTTTATCATTGAGCAATAAAGCTTGAAGGGTAAAGAATATACTTGTGAATACCATCTCTCTATCTCTGATAAATTAACTGTCTTAATCCCTTTTCCCACTCCTTTTTTCCACCCATCCTTTTTTTTTTTAGGTGACTACGCCCTTTCACCTGCTTCACCCTCACCCTTGCCAGCTTCAGTAATTGGAGCAATTCAGAGAGCCCTGCCAGCAAACCTCCTGCTCCACTTACTGCAGTGCTGCCCCACCTCCCATCGGCTGCTCCACAACCTGTGTGAAGACTGGGATTGGCAAGGAAGCAGGTGCAACACTCCAAGAAGGCAGACAGAGGGAATCAACAGGTTCCCAGCTGATTCCCAGCAGGCAGAATAGGACTTAACTTTTCTCCCACGAGACCTGAGTAACCCATAGCTAGATGGAGTTGCCCTGCAGTCACTATTCATTTTCCAGAGACTTCAAAGGTGTAGCATGCTACATTTTGCACTGCTTCTTCAAAAAAGAGTAAGATGCTATTGAAAAATCTAGTAAATTGACTGCATTTTCATGATAAAAATTGTACTTGCTACTGAAGTGGTGTTTAATAATTTCAAACAAAGCTCTGAGGCGTTCTAAGAAATACAGGACAAAGGATTCTTCTGTAATATAATACAAGCCCCTCACTCAATAATATGTTAGTGAAATTTATGTAATTAATTAGTGGAACTTAATGAACATTTAAATATGCTGTGCCTTTGGCTGTCACAGGGAAATATTCTGATCAATGAATGCAATCAAATTAGTTAAGGAACAGTAAGGATTTTTTTTTTTTCTTTAAACAAGCATGAAAAGGTATCTATTAAACAATTATGTCTAAAAATTTAAGAATAAGTACCTGGTATGTAGTGTTTGTGTCTGAGGTCACTGTCATTTAGAAGCTCACTAGTTCATTGCAATTACAAATGAAAAGCTTTTCATTAATACTCATATTTGAGGAGGTAAATAGCTGCATTGCTGGTTCCAAACCAAACCAGGCTTTACACAAGTGGTTCCTGAGATCACTGCAGCAAAGTACAATATATACACAATGTATATGTTGATAGCAACAACCACACACAACATTTCACACAAAGTCACATTTGCCTAAATTATCTAGGGCACTACAACCCAGCAGATTTTTTTCCTGTGATCTTGAATTATAAACATATAGATATTTTGCCAGATTTTATTTTCCAGTCAAATTACTAGAAAATAACAGCAAAAAGTTACAATATATAAAGGAAAACATAATGTCTGAGTCCCATTGCAAAAGCCTATCAACAATATCAGTTTGGGTAGGAATTTCAGCTAGGACAAGCCTCCTAGCCTTTTGCTGGAGCAACTCACCATTTCATAAAACTTTCTGGAATGCCAAGGTACATGAAGAAAATTGAGATATGAATCATGTTTATTTAACTTTTATTTAAAGGTAGCAGTAACTCCTTTGCACTCTTTGGCAGCCTAGGGCTGCTTACAAGTTACACCTGTAACTCCCATTACGGTAATGAGATTATACCTACTCATTAACCTCTAGTGTATTAATGGCTAATTATGTGTCTTATTATTTAAAAGTGGATGCCCCATACAGGTTGTGTGGGTATAGGATGTCTGAATATGAGTGAAGGTTTAGGTGTGTGAAATGAAAAGGCAAAGCTGTATCTACAAAGGGTTCTTAGAGGTTAAATATTTCACATTAGGAGGATATACATAACATTATATATAGGTTAAATGGATGTGCAAGTGGAATAAAGACAAAGCACTGATACTGTAACTTCCAGCAGGCATTTGCTTCAAAGATGCTCTTGGTATCAGGGTGAATTTCTTTTGTGCCAGTTTCATCCTCTCCTTAGAGCACTCACATGTACCTATAGCATGCAAAAGCACATTATGTTAAAAAAAATACTATTCCTGGCTTCTCTTCTGAGACAGTATGAAGTTCAGGTCATTTTGACTGAATTATACAAAATTTGTAGCTACAGTCCTTTTTCAGAATAGAGGTGTTGAAATGTGCTGAGTAACATACAGCTATTTTACCAAATTATTTTGTGTAGGGGTAAGATGGGAATATATTTTAAAACATTTGAAGTAGCAATACTATTTACCCATTTAAATGTTTAACAATGTTTCAATGTGAAGCATTTTGATTTGTGGATTAAAGAAAATTTTATTTTTAAAGTCTCTTTAAGTTATTTCTCATGTAATAAAAAAATCTTCCTCATAATCTTACCCAAAATCTTGTTATTAATTTTTTGGTTTTTTAAACTGCTAGAAAGCCAAATAACCCATTCTACAGAAAGTCCTTTTTCTTAAACGTAACTTCTCAGACAGGGAAGTTAGCCTGCTGAACAGCATTTAATCACTACCACCAAAGCATAGTTATGGTGTCATGCAAAAGATAGTGTCACTGTGACTCTAGGTATGAGAAAATGATTTGTTTGACTTGATTTTTTTTTTCCTAATAGCACTGAGAAATCCCTTTAGGCGAGCCCTCTTTTTTTTTTTTTTTCCTTTGTTCTAATTTTTCCTTAAGCAAAAAGGAGTGGGACTCATTTGTTAGGTGTGTGAGACTTTGCAGGTCTGGTTTTACAATACACCATTTAGTCTTTGGTGAGGCTTGTTAAACCCTGAAAGAAAAGTCATGCATTGACTGAGTGACGCCACCCTGAGGTTGATTCCCAAGGGAAAGTAAAGATTTGGTCCTGCCTTACAATCATTAGGGTGACCGGGAACACCTTCTAGCAAGTGATAGCCTACCCAACCTTGGCAAGCTGCATAATAACATTAAACCCAGTGATCTAATTATTCACTTCTAATATAAAGGGCAGGGTTCCCTGGGAAATCAGGAGCAGGGCTGAGAAATACATTTCACAATACAAACGGAGGCAGTTTGTCAAGACTCTAACCTGGGAAAATTAACTTAGGAAGCTGTCCTATGCATCCAGGGTGCCCAGTTCAGAATAATTTCACATTTATGCAGGGAGGATCTTTAAAGCACTACATTATCAGGCTTGAACACCTTGTTTGAAATATCACTTTAATTTGTTGTGGCTCAGAGATCTTTAACTTCTTATTAATTATGGAGATACATAATGTAAATATATACATAAGTTTAGCATAGGAAATTAAGCCCTATTCACCTGTGAACATAAGAGAAATTTATAGGTAGAAAATATCTTTCATGTAAGCCAATGAGAAAGTCAGCAACACTCAAGATGACAGATAAGACTTTTCTTCAATGTCAAACTTCTTTTTTGTGATAATTTCTTTATTTTTTCTCTATTCTGTGTAACCTTGTGTGTTGCCAGGTAACAAATTTCCAAATATATCCTTAAATACAAAGTGAAAATATTTGCATCTTTATTCATTCATACACCTGCAACTTTGGATTTGTTTGCAAAGGAATAGCCACACATGCCAAAGAAGTGGCTGTTCTATACCTCTGTACACAGAAAAATAGATTTTTCTACAAGTATATTTCAAACTGTAGAATATTTGAACTACAGCCCAAGTAATTACCTGAGCAGTCTACTGGGAATGTACATATTAGAACAAGTTGTAAAATAATCTCTTCCAAATAGCTATTAAAAACAAAATTGTAGATCCTGGGCCAGATTCTCAGCTGTTACAAATTGGTGGCTGCTACAAGTCCCTGACTTCATGTGTGCAAAGGTTGAGCTCCAAGAGATATTTTACATTAAAACTACAAGTTACTGAAAAATGAGGTTCAGAGTAGCAGCTCAGGTAGTATTCATACTATCTCCTTCAAATTCCTTTAGGCATTTAGCCTGGCTTCTCTAAATCATGCCTACCTCCTCTATGCTGGCAGTATGAGGAACCTGGGTTCCTCCAAACTGCACCATAACAGATGACATAAGTAGAATCAGTCAGACAGTGTAAATGCTCTGAATACCACAGAAAGGTCATGTCTTCTGTCAATATAACTGAATTGCTAGAGAGACTCTATTTCAAGAAAGAAATAAAAAAGTATCAAGCCATTTCATTGTAAAGGTTGTGGTTATTTGCAAAAGCAAATCAGTTGTTGCTCCAATTCCTGCATCACTTTCTAAGTTCTCTGGGATTCTCTTAATTAAAAAGTGTCCTGAATATTGTCTTGCTGTCTATAATAAGAAAGATTCTTATTTTCTTCTTTAATGATGGTCTAAATCTAGTGTAGTAACCAACTGACTAACACAGGGAAATCCCAATCTTTCAGCTCCATTGTATAATTTATACAATATGTTCAACACTTTCCCACATAATAAACGTGGGAATCCCTTACAACCAGTCCAAGGTCTGAGGTTTTTTGTATGAATCATGTTCGCTGCATCCTGGCTTAACCACACCCCCAGCTACTTCTGCTGGGAGCCAAAGAGTTACTGCAATCACCACTGGTAGGAGATACCATGTGCAAAAGCATTATTTACAGCAGGATGCAGTGAAGATGAGAGACAGAGACTGATAACTTTATCTCAGGGGTTACCTGGGAAAGACTGCTCTAGGTCTATTTAAAAGAGTAACTTTAAATAATGAATAAATTAAGAGATATTATCATTCAAATATTACTTCTTGCTATGACAAATCTTTCATGTAACCCTTAGCCAGATTCTGTTTATTTAAGGTGATGCTCATTTGAATAGTTTGGGAAAGAAGTGCTTTCACTCTACCTGTTATTCAATTTGACAGTTCTTTGCAACATGCGAGAGTCATGTTTGAACTTGTACAGAGAAATGTCATTGTATTAAGAAAAGCTATTCAAGATACCTCAGATAATGTTCACATACATTTAGCCTCCCTGAGTGGAAAATTAATGTCTGGCAGAAGTTTTTATGTAAGGGAGAGGGCAAATGACAACAGGTTGTGTGATTATTACTGCAAAACTGGCAATTTTAATCAGCCTTCAAAAACTAATGTATAGTTTCTGACTTATGCTCAGTACTGGAAATCCAGCTAGACAATTGCTTGTAACATAGATGTCTGCAGTGTACATTTATTCCTACTACTTAGAGCCCTCATAGATGCACAAACATAGCACAGACATAGTCACTTCTTGGTCTTTTCTCTATCAGACATATTTCACGTCTTTTGTACTGTGTTGTCAGATGAATCCCAGCTCCACTTTTTGCAATCAGGAACATGAGTTTTTCAAGGCTTTAGGCACTCACTCAGCTCAAATCTGACCACCTGGCTTGGACTTTTGCTCTGAATCATGCTCTGGAAGAACCTCCTAGATACACACCTGTCTGTTGACTCCAGAGGGAGTCAAATCTAAAAGCCAGTCAGCTAACTCTGCCACCTAAAAACGAAACTGGATTGTGAATGTTAAGTAAAGCCACTCACAGTTATACGAGGGTAAAAAATTAAGGGCATTTTTAAGAGTGAGTTTTTCAGAGCGTTCTCCTTTCGCCAAAGGTAGTTTTTGAAGTGGGAGGAGGAATTCATAAAAGGAATTGCTTTTGCACTATCATGCAAAGGTACACTAGTCACAATCTACCCACTTGTTGAATATTGTGAGTTTGCCATGCCTGCATTCACAGCATGAAGCAAGGAGGTCAGAAGAAGGGATCCCAAATTTGGTTCTTATCTACATCACTGATTCAGTATGTAATAAGCAAGTCAAGTAAGTGCTGTCAGGTTGGCATCACAGGTTTTCCCACATCACAGAAATGCTGTTTGGCTGAATTAATTTATGCTTATGAAGCACTTAAACTTTTTTGAGAAGTGAGTGTAGTAGTATGAAAAGGGATTTCTCACAGGTTCCAGAGGTGCTGGGATCCAGAGGAACTGAGGCAATTAATCAGTGCTCTTACAGAGTCAGAGCACTGTGCCTCTCTGAAAGACAAGCATACACAAAAGTTAAGAAATTGTTTATTCCAGCCGTAATAGGAAACTTTTGTATATCATTTCCCTGCTTACTCAGAGGCACTTTAACATCTGTCAGGCCAGGCCTAGCACTTAGCACACAGATCTGAGGACAGAAACACATGCTCCATTTCCTGATAGCAGCTCGCCCGCCACTGCTGCCAGACTCAGGGACCATGCATAAGACACCAGGCTCAGTTCCACCAGTTTGTTGGGCTTCATGGACCAAATCCAAAGTTGTGCAGGTGTAAATGAGAGCCACACAATCTGTTCCATGCTTTTAATGAAATTTCAGTTCTGATTACATGGCACTCTCTTCCTTTTAACAATTCAAGAAGGGATAAGAACTGAAGCCAAAAGCTACTCACCTTCCATTCCTTGCTTCTTTGAGGTAAGCAGTATTTTAATCAGAATCCTTATTGATAGCTCCAAACATCATCCCTTCCCCTTCCCATTCAGACAGTGCCAGTCAGGTCAAACAGCAATCACCACCACATTTTCCTTCAGGGAAAAAGTGTTTAAGGACATCCACTCTTTTAATTCTTTGATTTCAGTCAAAGATCTCTTCAAGCTCTGCAACAGAAAAATTGCATTTTTCACTCAAACACCACCAACCCACTCTTCTTTCTTGTATTTGATCATAATTCCTGTTCACTGAGTTGTTCTTTCTCCTGGGTTTATACACCTGTGCTCCTCTCCACTTTTACTCAGCCTTCGAGCATCTGGTAACATCCAGTGCTGCCAAGTTTTCCTATGAGAGCAAGCACACTCAGAGGCCAATAGTGACAGTAATCACTGTAACAGACAATTTCAAATAATGTGTGTTCCTCTTACACTACAGGGACTGCTTTCCCAGCCCAAAGGGAAAAAAAATAAAAATAAAAAATGAAAACTTTTTAACTACCAAAAAAATACGTATTTTCAGCTGGTCAGGAAAGATAATGCAGTGGTTTTATTTTTTATTCTTTACACCTACACACCCCTACATTCATTCGCACATCTATACTGCAGAGCACTTTATCACTTCAGTCATAATTTAGAATTCTTAAAAGGCATACAGTGCAAGGCATTGCAACTAATTGCAGTCTGTTTCTATCACCCAAAGAGTCTGGAAGCATAATCAGTGTTGTATTCCTTATCTGCTGTATTTCCTTGTCTTCTTTTGCACCCTGACAGAGGATTAATCACCTGATGGGAATACCACAGACTGCAGAGATCTGGTGGGAAATATATTTCTGAATGACTTCACACTAGTCAGAAGTTCATGATGTCTATGATTTATTGTCTCTAGTGAATTTCTCATTGCTTTTGAGAATTTAAACTAGTTCAGCTGCTCCTAGTGATGAGGCACAGAATGCATATACAAGGCCACAGTAACTCTGTGAAGCTCATATTTGGAAAGCAGCTTTTCCAAAGTACGCAGAGAAATTATGACTTTAGACCTAAGGAGGAGAAGAGCAACTTACTTTTCAGCTGTTTCCACATTCTCTTCTGGCTGTGCTGTAAAGACTTATACATAGGGAAAAAAATGTAGAACAACTGTGGCCAAAATCTGAAGTCTTCCTTCAATTTTCTTCACATTTTTACATGGCAAACTACCTCAGCATACTTCCATGTAATAAGATACACACATGGAAGAGCAGAAAGAAAAACAAGGCCAAGATGTCAGGACTGCTCTTTGGCATATTCAGGATGTACCAACTGGAAGCTGAAAATGAAAGCAGCTCAGGTAACAGACACTGTTGGACAGATGGAGTTTATTTACCCCAGGAGGGTAGAAATGTTCAGTAGGATCATTCAAAAGCAAAGGCAGATGGTAACATCATACAAATTCTACCCTGAATAAGGATTTCAGGTTCAGAGCCCTGATCTGAAGGAGCAAATATAGCTGGCTGCCATCACTCAATGTTTCAACTAATTTTTAAAGCATTTTTATTTCTTAATATCTTCCTCACTGTTCAGTTTTGATATTCCATGCTATGTTTCCTCTTCAGCCTTGAATATGGTTAGTAATTTCTTTGGGCTCACAAAACTGTAAAAGCAATGTTTAGTCATACAAAATAAACATTTAACAATTTACAACCTCTAAATATACTTCTGAAAACATACAGTATCATCTTTGGTCCAAAAAGACTTTAAAGGCTGTCTTCACTGAGCAATGTGATAAAAATGACTAAAAATATTCAAGATACTGGCAGTGTTTTAGATGTTAAAAAAGTAAAACACATTTGAGCATGCATGTGAGCAAGGATCTGACTACTGACTAGTCTGCCCCTGTGTAAAGGGGCATAAAGCCCTCCTGTTCTGATATGAACAAGTGCAAGTGACAATGCTAAGCAAAAGTACTGGAAAACTAAGGTAATCAAGTCAGTAAGCTATAACCAAGTTAGTAAGTCAAGTAGCTGTTTAACCATAGTCATATCTATATAAATACCAGAGACTTACAAATTTGAGCACACAACAAAACCAGAGAACTGTCCTAATGCTTGACTTCAGAGAAAAGAGACACTGTGAGATGAATAATTGGTTAGGTTTTCTTCCCTTTGTCACTCCCCTAACAGTCTGAATATGCCTGTCCTCCATTTTGAGAATTTATGTGTTCCCTGAAATGAAGAAAGGTTTCATCTCCTTTCAGCTATCACATTAACCTCTTTCAGAAGGTTTGCTTTGCCCAAATTCTTTGACAAGGAGTGAGTGAAATCTCAGCCCCACTGAAGGCAGTGGGAAATTTGCCATTCACTACAACAGAGCCAGGGTTTCAACAGAAAGTTTATAGCCATAGAAGACCAGACTGAATCTAGTCCAGTGTTTGTGAAGTGCTTTGAAGTAGAGAGTGTTGCAGCACAGAAAGTATTGCTATTATTACTATTGCTATTGAGTGAGTGCATGACAGAAGAAAGGTAGAAACCTCAGAGTGAACTGGAAGGAAACACTGAGTCTGGAGATCTTTCTCAGAGGTCAGTACATGGCATTTTTCTAAACAGTTTCCTTTAAAAGTGTCTAGTAAAATGCTCTTTCAACCTCAGTACCTTCTTGACATGTTAATCAGAAGCAGATCTTCCTACCAAGCCCAGCCATCCTTATGGAAAGCATCCTATCTTTTCCTTCACATACTTTTCCTGAGTTGTATAACTGGTCTGTAAAGATTAACTGAAATAAATACTCTACAAAGACCTTTTTTTTTTTTTTTTCAGAAGTGCTGCAAAAGGCCATGCTGGAAGGGAAAATCTGTGTTTTGCTTTCAGCCTGTCCTTCCTCTGAATTACCGTGTGGCCCATGGAAAAGAAAGCCTGGGATCCAGTATTGCTGGCAATTATAAGCTCTTCCATTACTTGTGGTTGTTGTGTATTTATTACCACCAGACAAGACAACAGTTGGTCATCAAGGAAAAAAAAGCCCTCTCCCATGATCTCATTAACTAGTTTATTCTACCACAGACTCATTCAGAATTCTTTTCAAGTTACATGGACAGCACTGCAGTCAGGAAATGTGTTAGCTGCCACCAAAGGAACTATTATTTGAATCTTGGCTGTTGCTTCCCCTCAGTATTCTCAGATCACAATCCCTGCAGTTCCCTCAAACATCTTGCTCACTGGAAAAAAAACACTCCCTGTAGGGTTCAGACACCCAGGGACTGATCTTCAGCTGGTGCAGACTGTCAGGGCTCCCTTATCCTCAGGCAACTCAAGGTTTTAGACTTCAGAGGATTTATCAGCAGCTCAGCAGCTGTGAGAAGAGCACAGCGTTAGGTCAGGGAAGGAACAAGCCAGCAGTTGTGAATCAGCCATTGGCACACTCAGCTCAGCTGAGAATTCCCAACCACAGCCTACAGAAGGGAGTTGTTACATCTTGATTAATTTCAAATCACACTGTCTTCTTTCAGTCTCTACCTTTTTTGGTTATCTCAGTGCACAGCAATGGTCCCAGTGGTTGAGATCTCCACAGTTGTGTTCTTGACTGATCTTAATCATGCAGCCTGTGATGGAAACAGTGACAAATTACTTCCATCAGTCAACTAAAAAGAAAGGACAAGCTTGTGTAGTCTTCTAAATTTCATCAACTACACTACAAGCCAAATAAAGGTGATGCTACAAAATATGCTATTAAATACTTCACTATTTAGTAGGTATAATTGCAACTACAAAGAAAATTGAAATACCACAACCTAGGAGTCTTCCTAAAACAGTTTCTTCTTCTGGTTTTAAACTAGATGACACTTACTAACAAGCTATTGTTGCTGAGACACAGGACATTAGCACTAAATTAATGCACCTATACAACTTCTAGAATGGAATATGGAATGGATCTGATTTCTGTATGAACTGTGATCACATCTATCTACATGCAATCATGTCAATACCTCACTTGATGCTCATACAATTATTTTTCAAGAAGTCTCATAGACTCTCAGTGCTTTGGAAAACGAGACCACTGCTTTGTAAACTGAAATATGGATCTAAATGCCCAAGTTTATATAAATACATTTTAAAATATTGGCAACAGTGAATAACTGCATAAACAAGAACAAACCCAAATATACCATCTACTTAAGTATTTGCTGCAAGTATGTATGTATTCCCTATTTAAACTTAGCAGTAAAAAATGGTATCAGATGCAACTTTTCAACCAATAAACACATTCCTAAGGGAAGATATGGCATGCTTTTCCACCACTTATCACAGTCAAACACGCCAGCTGCATCTGTTCAGGGCAGTTCATATCTCACTTAGCGCTACTTTTCATGGTCTGTGACATAAAAAAGAAGGTATCTGGGCTCACTCTTCATTCTTAGGAAGATCCACAACACTGTGAAAATCAGTATTTCCTTCATGCCGTGCTGTTCTTCAGCATCCGTGGGTGATTTCAACACACACTGGGTTTTGACTCCAACAGAACAGGCAGACAAGTGGAGAATTTAGAAAAGGAGAAGGATGGACAGAGTATTGATCCCTTTCTGTACTCTTAAAAACCACACAGGCAGCTTGTGCTAGAGATATTTAACAAAATGGGTAGGTTATTGTTTTACCACTCTCTGAAATCAGCTGTAACATCCTTATAGATTTAAGGGGGTCAGGATTTCACTCACTCTGTTTTCTCCTGACAGAGTAAGTCTAGTGGTTTGCTAAATTAGCTTTTAGTGGGGCTACTTTTTCCTTTTCTGGAATTTGGGGCAGCAGAAGACTTGGTGCTGCTAAAGCCCTTTGATGTGCCAGCCCTCTGGAGCTTCCATGTCTGCTCTGCCTCTCGGGGTCACACCTGTTCCCAGCCCCATGGCCGAGCAGTGCCTCTCCCCTGCTGCTGCAAACACACAGGCACCCTCAGCCATGCACCTCGCCTCCTCAGCAGCTCTGGAAGCCTGTGGTGGGTCGGCTCCACTGATCAGCTGGAGATCTTGTTTAGAAGGCTTCTTTATGCTGTTTATGCTGCTGTCAACACCACAAACCTAACACTGCCACCTCGCTGTTTACATACCTCCGCTCCAGGACACCCTCTACTAACACTGCCCAGTGTGTGAGGGTGCAGCTTCTCTTTTTATTTTTATAAGGCTTGTTAACCACATCGCTATAAGATACTCATTCAGATTTCACCCAAACAGACCTCTTGCTGTCAGCATTTAATTATGCTTGCATTCCTATGTAAATAGAGCATTAGCCAAAATAGAGCTTTTTATAGAAGATAAGATCAGGCACATCTTTACAAGAAAAGGAAGCTTTGGAAGCTTCTGTACTTCTGACAAGAATAAATTTCTAAATGCAAGAGAAATGCATAGAACTGAGAATGTTCTGTTCGTGATAAATCACAGTATTGAAAGTAGTAGTCTTTATGTATCTTTATTTGGAGGCTTAAGAGTACATATTTAATGTGTGTATATAAAATATGTCCTTGTAAGACTATGAAGTCTTTTCCATTGAAAAATACTGTGCACTTAAGATTACTCTTTTTAATGATTCACAGTTCAGAAGAGATTTCAAGCAAGTTTTTATCCAATGCTGGATATCAAATTATTTGACAATCTTTTTCTCAGTTTGGCTCATATATGTAAACATCTGGAGAAACATTATGTTCTAAGCTTAACCATGGATTTTATATCATAAGATAAGCATACATTTTAAATATTAATTTAAAGATTAAAATACTGAAATCTCATAAATTCAGATAGGTCTCTAGTCTTCCAAGCACAAATGTCCATTACCCTTTCAAATAGTTTTAAAAGAATAACAGAATCCTTCAAACAAAAATACCAGATTCCACTGTGTTTAGATTGATGGGAACTGCAGCAAGCCTCATACAATTTCTCCTCACCAACATGAGTCTTAACTCAATTGTCAAGTTTGCTGTCACCTTCAGTATAGATTCCTGTGAAAGGTCATGCAGATCATGCATTGGCTCAACTTTTATTGTACTGGGACATTGTGGTTTGCATACATCTCCAGCTAGCATTCTCAGTAACCACACTGAGAGGTAGACCTGAAATCACATTCAACAGAGCAATTTCCATGATAACAGCTTTTGAAGAACTTGTGCAAGTTTCTGGGTGATAAGAAACTGCATCAGGTATTTTGGCTCTTGATTTAGCCACATTCGATGCAACTGAACAGAAATTAAATATCAGTTACCCTGATGCTGCTCCAGAGGTCTATATAGAACACAGTTTAGTGATCTCAAAATGAGACTTGACAAGCTATTTTCTTGTGGCAAATTTGCCTCGACAATGCAATTTCGATTTGTCCAAATGTTCGTATGTTTCTAGAATCTAGTAGTGTCAGAAGTAAGTATCACAATCTTTTGGGGGCTGATAGTTCATACGGATAACCCAAGATCTTCTTTCTGAGACACCTTCAGGAAATCAGAGCAGAATTTGGTTCACTGTATTTTCATTTGCAAACCTTTAGGTGCCCTAAAAATGCTTCATGAGGAAGACAATTAATGAAACATTTGCTATTAACTTCTTTTATTGCTGAGTACCGCCCCAGTACTGTGATGTAATTCACCTGCTGTTTGACCTAAAGGGGAATTCGGCAGTTGAAGCGGAGATGTTCTCACGGATCTGCCCTATTACCTAACTTTACATACTGCTTCATTAAAGAAGTGTAAAATGATTTCCATATAAATACAAAATCAATTTTATACAAAGCACTCTGAACAAATGTCTTCCACTGTATGATTAAAAAAAAAAAAAAGACATTTTATTTGGCTGGAAATGCTTTGATAAACAACAGGTCTCATTGACTACACCACTTAAATGCTCTAATGAATTTTTAATATCTTTAGTTGTTTAACTGGATCTTAATACAAAGGAGCTGAAGACACAGGAGCATGATGTTTCCTCCACTGGCATATTTAAGAAATCAGTAGAGGTATGCCAAGAAAATGTTCTGGTTTTGAAACACGGCTCCAAAACTGAACTCGGGGGAAAAATAAAAAGCATTTTGTCGTTGTTTCTAGAATTAAACTACTGCTGCTGATTTGAAATGTATATTACCCTTTCCTTAAACTAGCTGCACTTAGTTCTGTCCTTTAGCTCTCTACTGGTATGATATTGCATCTTTGGCTGGCTGACAGGTGGCAGAGACTGATCACATTTGAAAACAAATTAAAGGTGAGAGATCTCTTGCTGCACAGACAGTAGGAGGGAAATTCTGCTATTACAATCTATGCGCCATTAACCCATGAAGTTAAAAACTTGCTTTCCAAGATGCTGACATGCTTCACGTCTAGCTCCTATCGCACAGGCCTGCCAGCTGCAGAAATCCTCCCTCTCTGCTTAGTAACCCCGTACTGATTAAGAAGATTGAACTGAGAAAGTTCACCTTACACCATTTCATCAGGACCTTCATTTACTACCAATGTCCCCATGTCTGCTGCGGGTTTTAAATCTTATATGCAGTCCCGAGCCACAGGAACTCAAGCACATTGAGATGATAAATCATTACAGACTCCTCTAGCATTTTGCTGTTTTTCTGGTGACTGACCCACTGTGCCTTGAGAAGCCCCCCCAGCTTGCATGGAGACTTTCTTAGCTGTAAAAGCCTATGTATTGTCATCACCAACAGAACAATGGAGTTGGCTGCACATGCAGTGGGAACCCAGTGCACCACTGGACAGAAGAGCCTCTTGCAGAGCTTGCAGAGCAGGGATCGTGAGGAGTGTAACTCAATGAGGCCCGTGGAGCACTAATGTATTTAGGGGTTGCTGTGCCAGGGCTCCACTCAGCAGGCTGCATCTCCTGGCAAAATGACAGGGTAGGATTGATGCTGATCAGAAAGACAAACTACTTGCTCAGTTTCCTCATGTAAGAAGGAGAAGAGTAATACAGTAATACAGCAGGGATAGGAAGAGCTTCAAAGCCTGCAAGGATGCGAGAACTGTTTCCACGCCAAAAAAAAAAAAAAAAAAAGGTACATCTTCCAGCAATCTTTCTGAGAACAGTCAAGAAGGTACCAAAGTTCACTTGCCCATAGATTACCCTGAATGAGAAATAACATGTAGAAAGTGGGTGTCTTCTTCCCAGAACACACTCCAGTGTTTGAGAATGTACCTCATCCTCCCCCACATTTGTTTGTTTTATCCATCTGTTATTGCCCCATATTTGATTATGAATTGAAAGCATTCTCCTGGAGCTGCACTCTGAGCTTTTCAAACTGAAGTGTTTGAATAAGGCTTGTCACTACAGGAAGGATACAGAGGGCATCACATTCCCCAGCTGCCTCCCATCACCCTTTCCCCCTCCCTGCACCTCAGGGCCAGCAAGCAGCCTGGATGCAAAAGGAGAGAGCTCTAAGCAGCTGCTACCTCTTCCCTGTTTCTCCTGCTGAGCAGCTTCCATGCAGGAAAGTGGCACTGTTGTTTGATTTCAAGTTGGAGGAGCCTGAGGGCAAACAGAATGGTTCATTGGGCTGTCTAAGCCTGCAGTGGCAACATTAGTAGAGGATGGATTCCCTCTGTCCTTCCCAGCCACAAAGGACAGGCATATAAGAGAGAGGTCATGTGGCTCCCTGATTCTCCCTGCCCCAGCCACAATGCCTGATTAAAGAAATTATACTAATTTTTCCCAGATGAGTGTCCCAAGGAAATGCACAGTCTTACAAAGCATTTATTCTGAAAGAGTCTGCAAAAATAGGATGTTCTGGCAGTACTCTAAAGTTGGGAAGTTCCCCATCTTCCAGAGGACTTTCCAAAAAGGGGCATTTGAGGGTGATTTTTACTTCCTCTGCACTGGCTGAACTGACACATGAAATAACCTGATTAAGTGTTGGGCTATGGGGGAGTTTCTTTGCTCCAGCCAAGTGTCCCGCAGAACAAATTAAAACTCTTCAGCTCAGCCCATCACACTGTCAGAGTGTGATAAAAACCATGGCAGCCAGCATAGCTGGGAGCATCCTTATTGTTTATGCACTGTTCTTCAGTGAGAAGAATATAAATCTTTTAAATGTATAGCCTGTTTCTTAAGAAGTAGTTTTGGTTTTTTTCCTGAACTACTCCAATAAGCCATTTGCATTTGATAATTTAACTGATATGGGGGCTGTTTCAGGTAGCAAATTTGCTGCTTTGTTCTTCACAACATAAGGAAATTTATTTTAAAAACAAGTTTTCAACTTCAAAGCTTTATAAGCTGACACAAAACACAGCACACACACACACACACCGCCCATGGTTCACATTTTAGCCATTTGCAGAGCCCAAAAGCAGTGTGGAGATGGCTGACAGCAAGGGGATTGAAAGAGTTTTTCTGTGTGGGCTCCTGCTGCAGCCAGATTAGATGAGGGAATTAGAGACAGGGTGCGGTTCCCACCTCGAATGCCTCTCCTGCAGCTCACAGACCTTCACACTGCCTTATTAACACGCACTTCCCTCTCCTTCCAAACATGCAAACTGCACCCTCTCCCAGGTCCCTCCTTAGCTTAAGGGTGCTGGCATAATCTCTGCTGACTTTCTGGAACCCAGGGATTTCCAATTATTTCCACATCCTCCTCCTGTTTCTCTTCTGGCTGTGGTGCCTTTGGGCTGCCTGCTTGACTTCCCACTCCACAGGTCTGCAAGGCAAGGGCAGAAACGCCAAAATTAAGAGAGCAGAGTAATATTTGCACAAGGCAGAAGGGAAGAGGAACAAATATAAATTGCCTGGGGCCAAATCTGCTTATTCTCTCTATCTTGCTCCTTTCTGAAAAGGCAGCCTTTGTGTCTCCTCAGGTTCTTGTTAAGCTTCCCAGAGCATCCAGCTTTGTCTCTCTGAGTTCTTAGGAAGCAGCGAGGAGTGTCTTCTTTGCTTTTAGGCACAAAAGGCTGCATCAACAAGGTGAGGTACAGGCAGCATGTTTTTTTCGAGTACGTGGCACCACACTGCAGCAGATCTGAGAATCCTTGAACATAGTATTGCAACATTTTAAATTCTTGCATGAGAAGACATCCTCCCAGAGCAAAAATTGACCCCAATCTGATAAGCAATTGTTGCAGAGCCTGCACCTAAGGCCTGTCCAGCACTCAGTCTAGCAATTCCCTCCCAAAGATACCAGCTTGGCCCATCACACAGCCCTAAAACACTCTCTTGGCTTTCCAGTGCTTGTTTAACTGCTCTTCTATTTTGCTGGGTGTCAGAGACACTCTTCACTCCATTCCTTCCCGACTGGAAAGCTGGTGGCTGTAAGCAGCCTCCTCCAAGCCCTTCCCTGGCCAAGGCTACAAAGGGCCTCCACTCTCTTGCTTGCTGTGGGTACTTCAGCAAAAAACCCCTTCACCCTGCTCCCAAGCCAAGTATTGCAAGGAGGGAAGAGGAAGGAAAAGGAGAGAGCAAATGGACTTATTGTTCACAAGAAGAGTGGGGGAAATGTAGAGAAAAGCTGACCTGAGATGCAAGGCTTTGTTAGTTTCCTCTTTCTCCTCTAAGGACAGTATCTGCTGTTCCCATTCTTCCCCACTCCACTCACCCACTCTAACCCAACTCTATCCCTAAAGGGAGAGTGCCTGTGCCTGTCTTTTGCAGAAATCCTGGCTTGGTGCTCTTCTCTAGGAAGTCAGTCAGTCAAAGCAGCTCTCCGCACTGGCAGAGCCGGCATGTGGTGAAGGCCTAGGGTCAGGTTATCCATAGTACTGCAGGTCTTCACATGCCCTCTGTTAGATGGCCAGAGCAAGACAGACACCAAGCATTTATCTGGTTAATTACTCCTTTCATCTTCTGCATTATTCCTATTTCAAAATCTGTATGCAGCCCCTAACAATAGCATGTTTGTGTGATTCCAGCTGACCAAACAACAGAAGTTATTTATAACTACGGATGACCGGACCCTGCTGTATTTTCATTTATGTATTTTTCCTTAGATCATCCATTGGAAAAGGGTCATACTTTCATGTTTCTCACACGCAGAGGCCCTGTAGATTAGCACACAGGAGATGAACCTTGGCAGCCTGCACTGCTGGACTGCCTGAAGAATTCTCACTGCAGCTGCCTGAACCAAGAACACACAGGGGCTGAGGGGGAGGTGGTTGTTCTCAGTGCCACACCAGGCAGCAGGTGGCTGAAATGGCAGGACCAGTGGTTCTCACATATAAGGCTTTTTAAAATGACTACTTATTTGTGGGTTTTTCTTTTGTCAAGGCTCACTGGCATTTCAGAGGAACAGTCAGTGCCTGAGGAATTCCAAAATTAGTGAGTGGAATATTGAGAAGTGGTATTAAGTAAACAGGATAAGCGACCACAAGGTGAAACCTCTTATTCTTAGATGGGAAACAGAGCCACAGCATGTCCATCCACACTAACAGAGGCTAATTTCCCATCCACATCAATGCACTGAGTTGAAAACACTTCTGATGTTTTTAGATGCTTCTCTTAGTACAAGCTTAAATGGGGACAGGCTTGAATTTACTTTGGTAGATAGGACATCAAAGGCTACCTCTTTGAGCCCTTCTACCTACAATCTTTTACAGCAGGTAAAGCACTTTCTGTAGTCCCGTCACCATGCAACAATACCACCCAAGACAAATTAATTCAAACAAACATACTATAACAAAAAACCCCACAAGCTGCAAAATCCCTTGTTTCTATCTAATAAATAGGGCAGTTCTCCACAAGGCTTCTAGAAGAGGCAAGAGGCACAAAGGGAACTGCTATGTCCAAGGTCTCCTTCTAGGGTTGCACACCAAGATTCAGAGCAGCCAGATGGAGACAGCAGCATATTTTACAGTATACTGATGTATGAAATAGACCTCACAACTAATCCTAGCAGATACATACCCAGCCAGAGCATGTCTATAAAATAAAGCCACAACATCTTTTCCTTAAAAGAGAGAGTATTAAGGAACTTGTTGATTAGAAATACACAATATACCTCACAGATGGCAGTAAATGGGACAGAAATTAGCAATTGAGGTTTCATTCCTTTATGTTAAAAGCACCATAGGCATTTTTAATTGGTCCAGCCAAAATAACAGAGAACAATGTATCCAAAAAAAAAAGCAGGGGTCTTCTTTGGGGTCCTTAAAAATATTCAACTGCACTGAGGAGGCTGTGTCCATGCAATTGAATAGTGGTGCTGTTCTCCAGTACAAAAACTTTTCCTACTTACAGAGGGTTATCTTTCCCATTTGATTTTCTTCTTTATCTGTGGGAAATGTAGGCATTTGCTGAAGAATTCAGAAAAGGGAAGTAGCCTGGTATTGGGAATTCTGATATCACAGCCGTGGAATGCCACACACTTATTATCCAAGTGTTTCCATCCCTCTGTATACATGACTCCTTCCTCAAGCCAATAATTTTCATAACCTTTTGCCCTTTCTATGGCATCATAGCTATTTAGTAATATTTACTTTTTTTCCCATCTTGTAAAATGTATGACACTGTTGCCTTGCTGGTTCGTGACTGATCCCTGCATAGATCAACTCAAACTCAAGTAGTTCACAGAGTTTGTGTTCCCAAGTATGTTAGTCAATAACCCCTAATTTATCTAAGGAAAAAGACATCCAAATGATTAAGGAGGAGGTACCACAGCTTTTTTAAGCTTCTGTCTGGTGCCATTAGTCTCAGGCACCGGTCTCACAACTGAATTTACTGAAAGACCTTTTATCTTTTGGAAACCAGTGCCTTCTGGGGTAATACTGAGAATATGTACTTGGCACTATATCCAACATAGGGCTATAATCAGCAGTCAGTATAGCACTTCTGTTCAGCAAAAAACCAGTTTATTACTAAGGACCTATCTGTAATATTGCTATCTACTGAACTGAGACATTATTGTAACTGCTACATGGTCTAGGCCAGATAAAGTTCCATTGTCATCCTTATGTCCACTTGAAAGAATCATCAACTCTAGCTAAAGTGACAATTTGTCAACAAGTTAAAGAATTTCTTTAGAGAAGGGAAGATCCAACTGCTGTATTTACATCAGAAAGAAGACTGAAGTTGCTTTTAGCCTAATGTAGAATGGATTGCAAATTATTTTTCTCAATGTATGTATTAAAATGGATGAGTTTCCTGAAGGACATTCAATTAATCAACTTAGGTGACTACACCTTCAGCAAGAGAAAACTCTGTTGCCTACTGACCGTTGAGGAATCATCTTGTAGAGAATAGTGAAAATGTAAGAATATAGTTATAGATCTTCGCATCCTGGAAAGTCTGTACTGAAAGGAAAAACTTATTTGAAATATGCACACCTAATTTTTAAGTCCAGAACATGTCCATATTCATATGTACTTTTAAATGGTTTTTTTGCTAGGAAACTCCAGGACTATAGACCTTCTATATTGCAAATCAAAACAGAAGTGTCACAAACCTGCCAAGTTTCTCGTGGTGCCCCGTGGGTACCCCGGAAGCTTTGTGCTTTGCATCCTGTCTCTTCAGCATGACGTTATCTGCAATCTCTGCCTCTGAGAAAGGTCCTTTCCTCTTACTCTAGCAGTCTCATATAAGAATCTGAAATACAAAAGCACAGTGTGAATAGAGTAAACAGGAGTAGAACTATTATCTCAGCAGTGTGTTGGATTTTCAAAAGTGTGAAAACTTTCTTAGAAATATTGCAGACTAAAAAAATTTATAGAATGAAATGTAATACTGACCCTCAGTCCTTCATTTACCCTTGAGCAGAAAAAGTAAAGAAACAGTTGTCTGTGAGAAGAAAGCTGTACAGAGCAGGACCTGTGTTTTCCTCCAGGATACTCACACTGGATGACACACTGCTTATGGTATTGCTGCTAGAGACATTCCTGAAAAGCCTGAAAGAACACAGAGAGTGTGTGGTAAAATATGCAGGGATCTCTGCAAGATTCAGGCCAAGCACTGAACATTTTCTTCCTGCAACCTTGTTGCCCTTTTTTTAGTGTGATTGATAAAAACTGTAGTCATTCTTTTCCGTATGGTCAAAGAATAGAATCATAAAATCATAGAAACATTTAGATTTTAAATGATCTTTAAGATCATTGAGTCCAACCATTAACCCAGCACTGCCAAGTCCACCACTAAACCAACAAAGATTTTTTAGGCTGCCCATCACATATGGGAAGCCTTGGGTAGGAAATCTGTCAGGTTTGTGTAGCACCTCTCCCCCAGCTCCAGATGTTGGAGGGGAAGCCATACAAGACAGAGTTACAAACCTCAGAAGTATGCTTGGTCTTGTCTATCCCTCATCCGCCACCAGTACTAACACTGCAGATCTGTCCAGTGTGGAAATAGGAGTTCAAAAGCCTTTCCACTCTCTCTGCTGACTTCAATACAGCTGCTAAGCTTATGCATGATATGTTTATGCTAAGGGTTTGGTGTAAACGGGGCTTGTTTTGCATAGCTGTCTAAAAATGTCCCATCCCCTCCTTTTCAAAAATGGGCAAAAGACCAAATATTTCTGAAAAGCTTTTAAAATCCCATAGTCTACAGAAGATGTTAAATCTTCTAAAGCAAAATTGAAAATTTGCAGAGGGAGCAGGCTTTTTTTTTTTTTTTTTTTGGGAAAAGGTTACATTGTTAAAAATGCTGAGTTTAAAAACTTTCAGATAATCCTAATCACTAAACTATACTAAAAAGTAGAAAGGATAATTCTGCATGAATTCTGCACCTTCCAAACGGTTTCTTTTTAAGATTCCTTTAAAGATTTGTCTAACACAGGCAGCATAAATTCTTTGTAAAAATGAGGATTAGTAACAGCACTTCACATAGTGAAGACTTTGTAATGTACCTCCTATTTATTTTGGTCTCAGACTCATCAGGAGAAGAGAAAGAGCTTGCAATTTCTTAATGAAGTAATTTAGTGAATGGGGGTCAAAGAAAGTAATTTAATTACTGGCTTAAATAATTTATGTGACAGCCATGCAGTTCTTTTATCTTCTGTTAGGCAATGTGTTCATTTTTTTCACGTCTAAGACTTTTACAGAGTGTGTCACAGTGCTAAACTCAGAATGTGTGGAAAGCCCAGGGTCTCTGTAACAGAGAATCAGACTGTAAATTAATTAATTCCTCTTTGCTGCTTGGAATGGGGACTGTTAGGTACAGCTTTTTCCAAGTTGTTTCACCCTGAAACATATGTACACTTAAGACATTTTCCAGTGGGCAACCTTGCAGTGAACAGTACTGAGGAACTCCAAAGTGGGGAATGGTGTGAGCTGGGCTCAACACAATGCTCACATGCCTTTCTCTGGGCCAGTGAAAAGTCTGTTGAAGAGGGCCACATGCACAGCTCAGTGAGACCTCATTAGAAAAAGCTAGATCACTGTGAGAAAATACAACCCAAGGCTACAGGTGTCTGCAATCTTAGTTGGAATATCCCCTTTAATGTCATTAGGAATATTCAGCACCAGCATCAGTGAATCTGGCTCTCTTTAGCTCCAAAACTTGCAGACCCCTCTGCAGAAACAATTAATACCCATTTAGGTAATTCTGGCCCATGGTTACTCTTACTCTGAAGTATATAGATTGCATTCAGGAGTTCTTGTTGAAAAATCAAGGACAAGAAGTAATCCAGTATTATTATCTCTGTATTCATCTTCTAGGCAGGAGAAAAGGAAGCATGAGACATCAGTGAACCAAGCCCCGTTACCTTTCAAAAAAGATTACATGGGAATTCAAATGTCCTGATATAATTCACAGATTCCTGAGTTCACATGAACAGCAGCAAAAGAGGAAAATTGCTCCATATCCTGTAGAGAGGAAATGAAAGGTATCTGGAAGAGAAGAATGTGCTGTGTGGTGCGAAAATGCTGTTTTGATTCCTGATGCTAAACATCTGCCATATTTTTGTGTGGAATCATTTGACTTAATGAGAGAATAGCATCTTCAGGATTGTGAAAAGTCTATTCCAGACTCGAGCTGTCTGAATTGGCAGCTGTGAGAACACCCACAGGAAGCATGGGACCCTGGAAGAAAAAGTGTAGGAGTACATCCTGTGGGGATAGATAAAAGTCAGAGCTGGGCTATGGGAATCTCTTCAGAACAAACATGCAAATACAGTTTCGCAAGTCAAAGTCCCAACTGTTTGTTTAGGGATTTTTCAGTTATTTGTTGCTTTTATTTGGCTTTCACAGAACAGAAACAGAGAAAGGATCTCAGGAAAAAAAAAAAAAAAAGAAAAACAAAGATGAATGAAAGCAAACCTTAGAGGTTTTCTTTATTGTTTGGTGTGGGTTCATGTGCTTCATGTGCAGTGCTACAGCTTGCTCCATTTGCCTTGTGATAGGCGATTGCCATAATATACCTATTTCTGGTCCACTGAGTTTGATAGCTAACACACGCAGCCAATAAGAGCAATGCTAGGGAAGAGCTGCCTGTAATTCCTCACTGTTGCCCTTTCATGAACAAATGCCTCCTCTCATCCATGTGAAATGCTACAGCTATGAGGAAGTATAACAACTGGAAAGAAGTTAATCAATTTCTTAACTATTAAGTGCTCCCAGTCACTGAAATCAAATAGCAATCAGTGTCATGGATAAAAACAGCTTCTCATGAATACTGACAGGTGACTGAGAGACCCCCTGCCATAAAAACACTCGCTCCCTTGAGCTCCTGGCATTGTGGTAACATGCTCATCTTTCTTCTACCTTTATGTGCCCTCCTGAATAAAACTAGATGGATTTGATTTTATCTTGCCTAGATGACATTTTCATTTCATATTTGTGCAATATTTTTCCCAGGCTTTCAGGCAACTTTCTGCTGCTTGTACAAACGATACCCTGCAAAATCAATGCCCACAGATTGATTGCACATTGTGCCAATTAATATTTCCTTTTCTTTCTGAACATTCCTAATTCCTATATCACTGAGAAGGTTGAAAAGGAGGTTTATATTGGCTTTCTGCATACTATCTATTATTCCTTGTGTGACATATGCTGTATTTCTCTTATTCTTTTTACTTTGCTGCATAAATAATCTTTTCAATTTCTTCCTACAAAAAAAATATGTTCTATGTTCTCTGCTATTTTATGCTACCTGCCTGGAGTCTGTTTCTACTTCTGCATCTGCCTTTTTTTTTTTTTTCTTTATTTTTTTACATGGGGTTACTAAAACCAAATGAAATAATGAAAATGAGGACATGGCATATTAGATGCAACATGTAATACTCTCCATTTGATTGTCTACTTACTTCTCGTGTACAGCTGAACAAGTTCTTTTTTCTGTTAAACACCCAGAAGAGACATTGACTGCATTGTTCATGATAACTCCTTAAGCCTTCTTGTTTCCCAGGAAGTTACTACTACATTCAAAACCCATTTATATGAAAAAATAATTTAAACTGTATTTTCATGTCCTTCTGTTGATAGTTTCCTAAAAAAAAAAAAAAAAAAAAAAAAAAGAAACAAACAACCAGCAGCTCAATAAAAGTTTAAAGAAGTAAACATTTTACAAGTTATCATGCAGTGTAGAGAATTGGTGATATCTCTCAAAGTGCCTTTTGATTCCCCAAATGCTGATGGGAAATATTCTGGAGGCACAAATAGACTGCAGATGTTGGAGAATACATCTTAGAATTCTGCTGAACATATTACCCTACTGGGAGGCTGTTTTGAGTCTCCAGGGACATTCCTCTGAGAGCCCAGCTGATTGTCTCATATTGAAACAACATGTCCAAGATACATTCCAAGTAAAAGAAAATAGAACAGGGGTACTCTGACCAAATATAAATCATGGGGCTAAAGGGCAGTTTATCTTCCATCCTTCTACCATTTCTTTTCTCCCCCAGTGAATATTCCCCCCAGGGAAACAGACCACAGGGTAAAGGACTGCCAAACATGATGACTCAGACATTAGGCACTGTCCCCAAGTGCTTCACAGATGGTGTCTGGATGGGAATCCCAGATCTTTCGGCACCATGAGCTTTGCTCCTTTTTTTCTCTTTTTTTTTTTTTAATTCACTGTAGCATTACTTCTGATCTCATGTCAAGCCCTTATAGCACTGTTGCCCCCCACAATGAATCCTGATCCTGACCTTGTAACTAGCAATGTCATTGGCACATAAAAAAGATAGGAGATAAATCCTAGCAGACCTTGGGGAGTGGGAAAAACAAAGCTAAAATAAACACATTACTTAAAAGATTATCCTGTGTCCAATTGAAAAAAAAAAATTAGGAAAGAGTTCTGCTGAAAAATACGGGCATATTTGAAGTACAGTGCATTAGCACAATTGCATAATTGTAGGTACTATGAAAGAAAATGTTCTGTACACAAATTTTATTAGCCTGTTTCTTTTTGTAGAATCCTGTTTGTTTCAGTAAAATCCTGTTCCTTTCAGTTTGCTTTATGTTTCCCCAAAGCTAGCACATCTTGGGATGCACATCTGGACCTGGACAAGCCTGAAAGCAGTGGCACATTTCTGTGTTTCTCCAGTACTGTATGTTCACACTAGACACTGGAAAAGTCCTCTGTAGAAAAAAAAAGACAAAAAAACCAGCAGTTTTTCCTTCCATGAAGACAAGCTGAAGAAATGCTCTGTAAAGTCTTAGAGATTATGCACAATGAATCCAGCTATCACAATCCCAAACAAGACATATCATGGGAAATGTGAAATACCCCTTCCTCTCTGTCTCCCCGTCTTGCACACATGCATGCACAAACCCAGTTGCAAAGGATAAAAGAAGAGGAATTGCACAATGAAAAGAACCAGGTCCAGCAGGTTTGGTTTTTTTTTTTCTCTTCTTTCTCTCTTTTTCTTTTTAAGGTTTACCACCAGTATCATCATAAGAACCAAAAGAATTGTTCACTCCAACTGGAAAGGATAAATATCTAGGAGTTTTTGTAGGCTTCATTCTGTCCAAAGGTTTGGTAGCAATTCACTGAAGCTCTCCAATTTACACAAATTCAGCTGAGTAGTAATTCTGTTTAAATCAATGGAGTTATTTTAGCATGTATAAAAAAAGAAATGGAATGCAGACAGTTTCAAAATTCAAATTAAAAGGTCCCAGAATTGAAAACCGTGACACTTATGTCAGTTGATTTCTCTGTTTTTTAAAAAGAAGTGTCTGATTAAAGTTGACAGCACTCCCCAGAGCCAATGTCCCTGAGCCAGGGGTTTTACACAGCAGGAACAGGGTCACAGACACTGATCACCACAGGGTTCCTTGCTTGGAGGCAGCACTTCAGAGTTACACCTGGAGAGGTACACTTCTTAACAGCCAGTTGTTGAAGTGCTAAGGAACCAACAGCATAAATCAGCATAAAACTAGCCAGGTTTCCAAAATGTGCCTAGCAGGCAGTTTTCAAGCCCTGCCTGGTTTTGGAAGCAACTTTGTCAAAATTGGACCCTCTCCACAAAGTGCTTTGATGTTGATGAATCGGTAAATTCCAACAAAAACTTGTTTAGTCAGAATTTTTCTGACCAGCTCTACTTCCTCCTTCTGCCAAGCCTATTTACTCATTCTCAAACTTTCTGTGTGGCTTCAGGCAAAGGTTTTCTGCCACAGCCATCCCAGCTGCAGAGTTCAGGCACAGCTCAACACAAGCTCTTGCCCACCAGGGTCCTCCCCTTCCATGCCCCTGTGGGAGAGAAGCTCCATGCAGCAGCACAGCTCCCAGCCTCCCTTGCCATCCATAGTACTGCTCCATCCAGACCCATGCTGCTCAGGAGGCTTTGTTGTGGGAACTAAAGCACCATCACCCAATTTTACTCCATTATCACCCCAGGGAAAGTGAAGCACAGAGAAATAATCAGTGTCACAGCAGCATGAAAAGTATGGCCCGGTCAACATGATGCCTGGCTTCATACTGAGCCCAGTGGTCCATAACATCTGTTTGCATGTTTTGAATCACACAGAGGCTATTGAGAACTGGAGTCCACCATGGATGTGGATGAACCTGTGTGTATAATCAAGAGGGAGGCTGGGAGAGAGTAGGCTAAGATTATATTAATGCATTTCTATCCTGGGCTTGCAAAAACAATGCACTGCATTGAGACTAGGTGTTATTGTCTGCTTTTAAGTGTACCCTCCCTTTCAAGTTAAAAAACTTTCTTAATAAAGTATCTGAGGTCATGCTATTGTCACAAGAGCTTGGCGAGTGCTCAGCAGCTGTCACCGTGGCAGCAGGAGCGTGCCTGGTGCCAGTCCCCTTTGTCACAACAGCCACAGCAATGTAAGGAGAAGGGCCTTGCAGGATGCAGGACAATACTGGGAAGGAAAAGGAGGGAATCCTCGACCTTGGGCCAGGGCCTGGTGGCAGACTGTTGAACCCCACACATCTCAGCAAAGCACAAGAAGTAAAAATTCTTGGAAGCTGCAAAGGTTGCAAGTGAAAACAAAAGATTCTATCATGTAGGAAATAGAACAAAACACAGAGAAATTTGTTTTGTTTTCAGAGATAAAATAAGCAAATAGTACTCTGCAAGGGTCAGGAGCACTGCACCCTGCATGCAGTGCTCACGGAAGGGAGGAGGACAGAAAAGCTGGGGGGAATCTAGAAGCAGGTGGGCAAGTGCTCTCTGGAACTTTCCAAATCTTGTGCTGTAAGCAAGGGACTCCCTCATGAGAAAAAGGGTGATGCTACTGTCCACTAGAATCTAGAACATAAAATTGTCTATCCAAACAAAACCCTGATTATGTAATACAATCAAATAATTGTCTTTTGAGCCCATAGCTGAAGCAAGTGATAGAAGCAAATAAATCACCACTACTGAGTTTTGCCAGTTGGGTGCTTGGAAAAGACCAGAGCAGGATAACTAGCCCCAACTTCCTCATGCATCTGTTAAAGCAAGACTAAAGCCTGTGCCCTAAGTGGCTGCAGGAACAGACAGTGAGGATGGTGTTATTGGTCCTTGTAGGCTTGTTAACTTTATAAATGTTTCACAACTGACATGTTGGAGCATTTTGTCCCCTTTTTTACTTGTATATCAGCAGCACTCTTGAATAGGAGCTACTTAGCTATTTCTTTCCTGCTCAGTTCTGTTCTGAAGAGCCACTCAAGAAATGCCAGCTATTACTAAGCTAACCCTCACCTAGCAATCAGTGCAGCCTCCTTTGCACTGTGTACTCTGTGCACAACTTTCACAACTTGGTGGGTGTTCCTTTAGGACAGGAAGTGAAGAAATAAATCATATCCCAGTGGAATCACTGGTGTAGCTCTGAACTGGCAGGATGCTACCCACACTGCAGTTTAGCTGGGATGCCTAGGCCAGCACCCCTGTATTTTGAAAAATACCTTGGCATTTTGAAAGACCACAAGTGGTCAGAACCTCAGCTTTATTCCTTATCCAAAAGAAAAATTCCTCTTGAAGCAGAAAAGCCCCACAGTGGGTGAGCAGGACTCACAGTGCCACCTGCTGAAGCACCCGGGCTGCTCAGAGCCATGGCCAGTGTCCTTCCAAAGAAGCCAAGGAAGGCCCAGCTGCACGGCCATCGCAGTCAGCCTGGTGTTAGCACCAGCTCACCCTGCCCAATTTCCCACATGTAAAAATCTCCTCTTGGAAACAAAAAAAATGCACCCCAATGCATGAAGGGGACCGGGGGTGGCACACACTGAGTGCTGTGGCATTGTAGGAAGGCAGCAAAGTTTGGGTTTTGTGACATGAGGCAGATGATCGCCTTTGGGTCACAGCAGTCTCTGTGCCAGCAGCCAGGCTCATTATTACCCTGAGACAATACAAGTTGTTCTTTCCTTTCTCAGTAATTTCTTCCAGCTTCCAGCCCTGCTGGAGTTCTTCGCTCCTGTGTTCCCTGCACTCTGCTCTGTGGATCCACTCAAAAGATGGTAAAGCTCCCCTACACTCGGAAAGGGGTGGTTAATTTAAACAAAGGACATACCTTTTAACCGGCTCCTTGTGTGTTTTTCCCAACCTCACTCTTGTCAGTATGGGACTGCAAGCAGCCAAGACCTGAAAAAGAAAGGGCACCTGACAGAGAATTCTCCCTCTCTCAATAGTGTTGTGTAGTCAATCATCAGCTCCTAGGAGCTCACATCCAGCAGCAGCAGTAGGACCAAGCCATATATCCTGCAACAGCAGGTGCATTATTCCACTGAGCTATTTACTCGGAACAGCCCTCATGTAGACTGTCCCTCTCTAGTGTGATACCACTATCTGAAATGATACAAAACATCTGAAGAAGGGGACAATGTCCTTGATGCAGTCAGAAACAGACAGGAATGGACACCAGGACATGAATAAACAGGGCTGGTTTTGTCTAGACTAAGGTATTGCCAGCCTCTCAAGACAGTATGATAAAACCCCAAAAATGAGGCAGAAAGGTAAACATGCAGTATCTTCCCTTTGAGGGTAAGCAAATTCCATGGACAATCTACTGAATGAAATGATGCAGGAAAAGGGGGGGGTCCAGTTGGTGGGTGATAGAGATAATGTGTTGTCTGAAACGACTTGGGAAGCATGAGTGTGGCATGTATTTTTGCAGGCATGCTTACAGCAAAGAAGTTCACATGATACTCACAAATCAGCCACCCTTCCCTTTG